CAGATCCTCCGTGCACAAGGCAGCCGGGGGAGGAAGGAGCAGGCAGCTCCCCACCAATCGCAGCCCAGCCTGGCCGGCGCCGGACCAATGGGCGGCCTCGGCCGGCGTGATCGGGGCGTGCAGCCTGCCTGACAGCGGGGAGGACTCAGCGTGGGCATGTTCGCAGCGGCGGTGGCTGAGCCTCAGCCATCCGCTGGAAACTAGGGGAAAGGTCAGCACGGGAAAAGGGGGGCGGGGCTGCGTGTCACTGAGTGGAATCGCAGCCCAGCCTGGCCGGCGCCGGACCAATGGGCGGCCTCGGCCGGCGTGATCGGGGCGTGCAGCCTGCCTGACAGCGGGGAGGACTCAGCGTGGGCATGTTCGCAGCGGCGGTGGCTGAGCCTCAGCCATCCGCTGGAAACTAGGGGAAAGGTCAGCACGGGAAAAGGGGGGCGGGGCTGCGTGTCACTGAGTGGCGGCCAGCCAGGGAATGCCTGTGCGTGGGGGTGTGTCTGAGGAGTGCGAGCTGCAAATCCCTCCCGTCCTCCAGTGAGGGAACCAGGCTGGAGCCTCAGCCAGAGGAGGGAGAGTTACGCCTGCCCGAGCCAGCGTAGCGTGCACGCACCAGATACGCACAACTCATTGCACCTTGTTTCCAATCCACCACAAAGTGCACCCCCAAATATCCGCGTTACATTGCTCCCTCCTCCCAGTCCAGCACACAGTGCACCCTCAAATAGCAGAGTTGTTGACTCGTGTCCCACAACTTGAACTCGAGTCGGACTTAAGTCGCCTAGGTGACTTGACTCTGGTTCATTGTTTGTGACTTGAGACTTGCTAATTTTGTTAAATCGACTTGGTGAAAAAATTGTCCGAAAATGCCGATATTGATGGCTTGTACAAAAGTGACTTGACATTTTTTAAATTAAAACTTGAGACTCGACTTGAACTGTAGTGACTTGAGACTTGACTTGGACTTGAAGACAACACTGTAAAATATACACAGCTCATTGCACCTTGTCTCCAATGCAGCACACAGTGCATCCCCCAAATGTACCCATCATATTGTGCACTCTCCCCAAATACAGACAACACATTGCACTTCACCCTGCAGTCCTGCACAGAATACATTACCCGAATACACAGCAAAATACGGATCTTGTCCCCTTCCCAAACCAGCAGAAAATGGACCCCCCTCCCAACCCAGCAATTTTCTAGAATGTATCTTCTAGCCCAGCGTTTTCCAAAATATGGGCCGCAGCCTGGTATGGGAAAAAAATACCGGACCTTAGCGTGGCTGCCAGGAGGGGAGCAGAGCGGGGCGGGCTGGAAGGAGGTGTTTGTGTGGGGGAAACCTGCTGCTGGGAAGCAGGGTTGGGGGCAGCAGGGCTGTCCTGCGGAGATGTGGGGGGAGGGGAGGTGGGCAGCGGTGGAAGCAGGGTTAAGGGCAGTGGGGCTGTCCGGCGTAGATCGGGGAGGGCAGGCAGCGGAATTAGGTCTGGTCGCAGGCGGGGGGTTGGCCAGGGGAGATCAGGAGGAAGAGGACAGGAGACCCAGCTGCCAGAAGCAGGGCTGGACGGGGGCAGCGGGGCTGGTCGGGGGAGATCAGGACTGACCCGGGCACATGCAGATCCTGGCACACGAGCGAGTCCAGCCCCGGGGATTCCATTTTGCCCCCCCACACACACATACCCTCCCTCAAGTAGTTGCGAACTGCCTGGCTGGTAGACACACTCACGCAGTATGAGCACATCTACCAGCCAGGCAGTTTGCATGTAAGGACTGATACACCTAATTATAATAAAACTTACCTAATTAGAAAATACCAGGCATTTTATATGTCTGGTAATTTCTCAATTTGTTTCCTGGACAAAACCCTCAAATACCAGACTGTCTGGTACAAAACTGGACACCTGGCAACCCTACGCTTCCTTGCACCCTCCCTCTTAGCCAGATACCCTACCCCCAATCTGCTCCTGCTCCCACCTCCAGGAGTGCCCATGTGGCGCTGGGTCCTCCAAACCCTGGCCCAGGCTGGGCGGAGGATGCAGCCAGGTGAAACACTGAAAATGTATTCATTTTTCATTCTTTTTTTATATGCATTTATATTTTTGGACTGCAAAAAACAGTACTGAAAAAAAACCGGGTTCCAACTAAAGAAAAAGTTTGGGAAACCCTAATCTAGTCAGCTTTCTATCCATCTTACAGTCCATTTATCCAATCCATATTCCCTTATCTTGCTGGCAAGAATATTGTAGGTGACTGTATCAAAAGCTTTGCTAACGCTGGCACTGGGGGCTTTGAGAGGACCAGAAACAACTTATCTGAATATTCATCATTTGCTTAATGAATATGCAAATACGCAAATGACTGTTACCAGTCCTTCAAAAGCTCGTGAATGGATTTACTGGTCCCTGTGTCAAAAAGTTTGGAAACCCCTGTTCTAGCCTCTTCTCTCAACTCCTGAAGAGTAGAAATTCCATGTAGGAAAGAATACACAATAGAGCCCTGCATTAGTTGCGAGTCTGCTGGTGCTACTATAATAAAAATAACAATGTGAAAAATGCATATACTATTTAGGGCATACTGCTTATCTAGACCAGTTGCCATCTAGAAAAGAACCCCTAAAACATGCATTCAACTTAGCAATTGTCAAACTGGGCCAGACTATGCTCAATCAATGACCCACTTCTTTTTTTACATTCTCTCTCTCTCTCTTTTTTTTTTTTTTTTTTTTTGGTACCATCTTGTTCTTTAGAGTTTTTGCTTTTGATTTTCTAAACAATGAGTTCACACCGCCAAGCCCATTCTGCTAATTTTAAAGGCTGTTAAAATTGATTTCAGAACTCTTTCTTTTCAGAGGAGTAATGATAAATTCGACCTTGCATGATCTGCTTTAGGGTAGTGCAGATGCAACCTGTGACAGTCTATGTTCTTGGCCTCTGGAAAGTGTCCCACCGTGCCCCGCTGTGACCGCTCTGGCCAGGACTTTCAAATCTGGTGCTCTCCAGGTGCACAGGAAAAGCCCCATGAAAATTTAATTTAATTTCCTGTTTGGCTAGTGTAGCCAACAGACCTTAGAACAAGCAGCAGACCTCAGCAGCACACCTGACCATGAATGCCTAGGGTCACAAATGAGCTCCAGTATGGAGCATGCAGGAGATCTTAGACTGAATCTGATTGCTGTGTGGGGAGAGGAATCTGTTCAGGCAGAATTATGAAGCAGCAAGTGAAACCCTCATATCTATGCCAAGATCACATATAGGCATAGTGGAAAAAGGATATGCCAGAGATGCCCTGCAGTACTGTGTGAAAATAAAGCTCAGGCAAGCATACCAGAAGAGGCAAACGCATGGTCTGGGACAGCAATGAAAACATGGTTTCTGGGGAGGCCTGCCTTATTCTGTCCTCCATGGTAGAATACTTTTCCACACCAAGTCAGCAGTAAGTGGTCTGACATCACTGCAATACAAAGCATTGCAGCATAAAGTCCAGGATTCCAGCCACATTCACTCAGCATCTGCTCCCTATCACTCTGTGTGATGTGGAGAAGACTGATGTTGAGCATGGCAACCTGGATGAAGCAGAGGAAGCTACTGTAACTGATACCACAGCAGTAGACCTTCATTTGCTCATCCTCAGCAAAGTATGATTTGAGTCCCTGCCCTGCTACCACGCCTGAACACTTACACATGAGCGGTCCAAGGCGGGCTGCGGCAGCTGGTGCCGCACAGCCGTCAATGGCCATGACGTAATCACGGGGCACCTGGGCGCCTCATGACATCATCATCAGGCGCCCGGGCTGGCGGCGCCTTAGGCAACCACCTAGTCTGCCGAGGCTCAAGGGCCTCTCCTGCATGCGTGCGCGCGCACACACACACACACACAGAGCCTGCAGGCTCCTCAGTGTCCGTGTGAGCCCCTGCCCTTCTGCCACACCCAGACTCCATTCCCTTCCCACCCACAGGCTCCTGTGGTAAGGCAAAGTTGC